CACATGCACTCCTGCACACTCCCATCCATGTGCTTGCATTCCTCAATTAGGGCTGCATCATCAACAGCTAGGACGTAGGAGGTAAAATAAAATAGCAATATTTCCCTTAAGTAGCCCGTAGTAGAATAATAAAGAGGAGGGCTCCCTCATGTTGCCAACCTGGGAAGTACATGAGCAAGCTTAGAAAAATGGGGAGATTAACTCCCACACAAAATGGGCAATTTACTGCCTCAGCGCCGGACAGATAAATTGATAGGGAATCCCCAGACATACCAGTCTGACCTGAATAGCATAGTCCTGTGTGAACTGGAATACAAATGGTTAGTCACTACCGACTGCAGGACTGTTGCAGGGAGAGCACCAGCATTAATAATAAACTGGAATTCTCCACTTTCTGGCTAACTGGAGATATTTTGACATCTGGACTGGAGAAAATTCCAGAAATTCAGGGCATGAGTCTATCAGTGGTGCTCATTGGTTGACTGGAGGGACTTCCAGGATTTAACATATCTGTCATAACTCTACCAGCAGCTGTTGATAGCAGAAAAAAAAATCTTCCAAACAAACAGAGAACAGCAGAGCATAAAAATAATCATCCACTCTCCTGAGAACACTGCCAAAAGGGCATACAGGCTGTGGGTGAAGTTATCCTGTGCTGGCTCTTAATGGATGAGAAAAAAATATATTATTAGCCTTTTTTGTTTAGGTATATGCACATTGAATTGTTTGTATCTAAAGGAGACACTGGTTCCCATATGCTAACAAAAACAGGTAGCTAAAAGAAACAAAATCAACTATTTTCAAGTATCACATCAGAAAAAGGCAGTAATACAAACTTCTAAATGAAAGCAGAACTGCAACCTCCTATTCTTTTACAGCCTATGAAGGTACTATCTTAGCCTCTAGTTGGATTGCAGTTGCCATGTGCTGCACACATGAACAGCCATAATACCAGCCATTTGAGGGTTTGAATAATTCGGCTAAGAGCTGAAATAAGCACACTGGGAACCCTGATGGTTGGCATGTATTGAAAGTAACTGTTGGCATTTTCCCCCATCATGAACACTCTTTGAATGTATCCAGCATGATTACAGCAGCCTTGCTTTTGCTGTCGTAAGGGCAGGTTTACACCATTTTCTGGACCAGATCTGGTCCGGAAAATGGTGTGAACCTGCCCACAGTTCAAGTGCATTCCAGACCAGAGAAAATGATACTTGCAGTATTTTTATGGTCTTGTCTGGTCTGGAAAAGACTGCGCTGGTGTGAACAGAGGCCAGACATAGCATAGGGATACATTAGGAAGCATTTTGGGTCCAGAAACAATTTGGTCTGGCCTGAGATGATCTGGGTGATGTGTGAATGGGCCCTAAATGTTTAAATATGTGGGGGGGGGGGAGTTATGTACATCTACCAAGGGTTCACACAGTAGTTTCCGTTTTAAACTGATTGCAACCAGCTTACGTGCACATCCAGTGTCAGTTTCAACATACGCAGCAGCCTGTCCAACACTGGCTGCCTATCAATAAATAGAGTAACAAAGGCTAGCAGGGAAACAGACCTTATGACATGATTCCCCCCACCAAAAATCAGTTCTTACATTTTACAGCTACTGTCAGACAATGAAGCTGATATACTAAATGAGCTTGGAATCTTCACACAATAAGTTGCGTGAATATTCACTTCAGTTATCTACTCACGTGAAAAGCAAATGCCTCTTTACTTATTTCATTTGCACATGATTGGATAATAATAAGTAAATATTCGCACAATGTTTATGCGTGAAGATTCCTAACTCCTTCAGTAAATCAACCAAAATGCTCTGACTTCGGCCAATGTGTGTAAAAGTTCTGAAGATAGCTGTCTCCTCTGTAAAGATTGGTCTCAGCAGTACCATATACTGTTCTCATTGCTTATGGTTCTGACATGAGGAAGCAAAGTCACCGCCGGAGGGTGCCGCCCTAGGCAAACGCCTAGTTTGTCTCGCGGTAAATACGCCCCTGCATACACTCATAAAAGACAATAGTTCATGGTACGGGTTCTGTGGCCCTTGTTGCTCTCTCTGACCATGTCACATTGCAGGTTTGCTGCCCACAAACCACCCATTGTGTCTCAGAATTTGTTGCCTATGCCTTCGATCTGACCTACCTATGGTTTATACAATCTTATTGTTACTCACTTCCTAGTCATAGTCATATTTATTCATCGTTTACATGTATAATATGGTACTTACTTGGAGAGAGTTCTCTGCACATCATCTACTGTCATGTTTTTCCTGTATGGTATCTTTTCTTAATAAAAGTTTCTAATATTTAAAACATAAGTGAATGATATGTCAAGCAGACAAAATACAACATGAGACCAAAACAGGAAATAAAATATTTTTATTGAATATTTGCTGAATATGTCAAGGTTTTTAACAACGACCTGAAAACTCTACTGTGGGAATCACTACACAAAGTGAAACTAAAATATAACCACTTCATCAAAAATGAAGGCTTACACAGCAAACTTTGTTAGCCCGCGGGTCACGAGCAGTATGGCAAGAGAAAACACCCGAACATTTCTACGAGATACAAGAGAAAAACTCACACATAGAAACACTCAAGCAGGCAGTAAGTATAGACAAAGGCAACTAGGATTTCTACAGCATCAGATTCTAATACTTTACACAGCTTTGTCCAAAAGGTAGATGTGGCTTTTTGTATGGAATAAACCATATACTGTTCAAATAGCAGGTTCAGTAATGCAAATGTCTGTCCTGTGATACGTTTAGGCAGTACAGTAGAAGCACATCCAGAGATATCAATACATCTGGGGTGGTACGAACCTGCACTTTGAGCATACCTGTTAGACATTTACACATAGGTTGGGAAAACAAAATAAGCTGAAATAGTATGATGAATTTTGGTCAGTTTAGTTATTTTAGATATGTGTCACCTTACTATTTCAGATTATGCAGCATACAATTTGCCTTCTTTTAGGGTATGTACACACATGTAAAGTCCAATGCTCACAAATATACTCATCAAAAACAGTACTGAATATATCTACAGTGTGGTCATCATTTGAGAACCATAAATACACATTTGCTGTCCCTAAAGGTAAATTCATACAGTATCTAGCTATTTTAGTCCATCAGCACAAACAGCAGCAATAATGTACAGATTGCAGTAATCCGCAGCAACCAATCAGACTTCACTTTACTTAAATCAGTGGAATAAAAATTTATTGCTGATTGGTTGCTAAGGGTTGCCATATTTTGCAGTTTGTCCTTTGCCTTGAATTTGTATTACCGTGAATAAGTATATCCCCCTCTAATCGCTCTAGTGTATACATACCCTCATTTTTGCCTTTCAAAAACCAATACAGCAGTGTACCTAGTGTTGTTACAATTCATAGCAGCTATAGGAAACCTTTCCTCTCAGCAGTTACCAAGGAGCCACACAATCCAGCATGACCTTACAGCAAGAAGCACGCATTGTATGCTTGGACCTTTACTTCATCGGTGGGCAGATATTGCCCAAAAATGATTTAGAGTTGGACAATTTCTGACACACTGTACAGTATTTAGTGAAATAATCATTCAGGAGTATATTTCAATCACATGCAACAGTACTGATATTCAACAATACTCATTGCTAAAATTAAAATAGTATATTTCCCCTTGGCAGTAGAAGATGGTATCATTTTTTCATTGACACCCCTTATATAAACTTAATGCAAGGTAGTGTGAGGACTGTTTTCTCTACTTTGTACCCATCTTACCATCTTTTAAGAAAAAAGACAAATACAAATCTTATACACATTCTGTGCAATGAAAAAAATGTACAGTAATAGCTTATTTTATGCTGCTGTCCAAGGTCTATCCACCAAATGATATGCATAAAGGATATATTCTACTATATTCATTGATATTTATATATTATTTATAATATATATAGATAGATAATTTATGGGTTATATTGCACAGTGCTCAGTACATTGCTGTGTGATCTACCTATGACCAAGATCCAGCATAGCTCCTAGTTTCTAATTGGTCCATAGTAACCTGTTTGTGCTATGCTCTCCTGCAGCAGTGCAGTAGAAAAAGATGGCAGTATCAGTACAATATCACTATAGAATTAATTGATTGCTATTCACTGAGAGAACTAAGTTTTATCTAAGCACACACGGCAGTCACAGTGATACACAGAGCAGTCATTTAAGACTTATGGAATGACTAATAGCTTCATAATAGTGCCATTTACTACAGAATAACATTGAAAACATTTAAAAATGCCTCCTGAAATGAGCATCTAGTATACACAAGAGGGTGCTCCAGTTTGCTAGCACTTGTATTTTGTTTTATACCATTTTTAAAGGACAAATTAAAACTCATTATACAAATAGTAAATATATATAAAAAAGGTCACTAGCTGTTTTGGCTTACTTGAAGTGCATTCAGAAGTATGGCTAAATTAGTTTAGTCTTTTTATATAT